TCAAATCCAAAGTATTTGATCTTACATGAAACCCTTTTAATATCTAATCCCGTTTCCTCAAAAACCTCTCTTATCATCGTGGAAAATATGTCTTCTTGTCTGTACATCATTTCATATTGTTTATCACAGATAAGTAAATCATCCCCGGAAATTGTATCCCATTTCTCTAACTTAACAACATGTTCAATATCAAATCCATCTGGAGCATCGAATACTTTCTCGATATCTTTTCTGCTTATCTTTAAGCGGATTTCATTAGCTGTTTCTAATTCATTCATCGTTTTCTTAAAAATCTCAAAATACATTTCTCGCTTTCCTCCAATAGGAGAGACTTGAGACTTGTACTGTGAATTGTTCTGTTCTCGTGATTCAAATATAAACTTATTCTTAGCTTGGCATATAAGAACGCGGATACAAATCCATGTTGTTTATATCCATTATTTATACGTTTAATTCTATATTCGTTAGTAAATTCTGGAATCTCCTTTGAAAATAATTCAGAATTATCTTTTCATTTAGGCATTTTTAATTTGGAACAAAAGATAAATATGTAACTTTATTTATAAGATAAAATTATTATAATTTATGTTATACAGAAGCTAAATATATTCTATTTTGGTGAATACAATGTATTACAAAGCATATGATTCACATGAATTACTATTGATACAAGCAGGTGGTTTTGGGGATGAACCTGTTTTGATATCTAATGACCTGGATGATGACATCGATCTTGTATAGTATATAGTCTTCAATCCTCCTTTCCATGCTCGTATATGGGAATTAAAAAGTCGTTTGATCATTGATTCAGAATTACCCGTAGCTATGTAATTATTTAAACTTTGTGATTGGTCAATATATAGACTACGATCAATCACATGGTCGATTATAGTTTCATACGAATACTCAAAGGCGGTCTTGTATATTGATTTCATCTCTTCTGGAAACTCTTTTATATCCTGAATACTACCATTATTATCTAGTATCTTACCTATGATTTTTGGAGTCCAGAGTCCTTTAAATATAAGCATTTCTGCCATCTCACGCTCTACATAAATAAAACTTCCTCCAGTAGTTTCTCTGAACATCAGATTCGATTCATTGGGAAATGGTCCTTCCTGTACCCGTGCCAACACATTGGGATGTGATGCGGTTGGCATTGGGGCGATTAACAAAGAGTTTCGAACTCCATATTCTTTAATTCTTTGTTTCAAAGAACTCCAATCAAGTTCTGGGCATAGATCGCTATCACACATATCATACTGTAAGATACCTTTTGATAAGGATGAGCCTTCGTAGTTATCATACGGACCATGCTCACGTGCTAGGTTGCATGATTCATCCAATGCAGC